ATGGCCTTTTCTCAGGCTTTTCCAGGGAGGGAGGGTGGGCAATTCTTTGCTGTACCCTTTGCCCTCAACCTGTTGGGCTTGCTTGTCTGAAGCACCGTCAGCCTGAAATCCTGCCAACTCCTTTACATGGTTTCGAAGGTTTGTTTCCTTCCATCTACTGGAAGCTCTATAGGAATGGCCCCGGCAGTTCAAAGGCACCCCACCATCCCTGACCTTCGCATTCTTGACCGATCACCAGCTTCTTTCTAGCTACTCGATATAGCCAGTGGGCTGGCTCTCAGGATTCCGGAACTCGATCCGTCCAGCTTTGGTCTCTGCCCAAGTGGGCTCCTGACCCATAACCTCACGTGGGACTGGGGTGGGTGCCAGGCGGGTCTAACTACCGAGGATCTGGGCCAGGAGCCTTGGGGGTGTTGCATCTTGGGAAACCAATGGCGACCTGCAAACGCGCCAGTTGTACTATACAGTTCTTTGGGCAACAAAGCACGGCATTTGTTTTTCCAAAGACCAGCGCAGCGGCGCAGCAAAGGCGAGATCGACGGAAGGTGTAGCAAGACAGTGGCAGGGTGCGGCAGGTGCGGCTCAGCCAACCCTAGGGCTCCAAGTGACTCCAAGTGACTCCATGGGTCTATGATAAGTGACTCCATGGGTCTATGATAAGTGATTCCATGGGTGTCTGATAAGTGATTCCATGAGTGTCTGATAAGTGCCTCCATGGGTCTCTGATTTGTTTAGCATGCCCGGTTAGACTGGACATGGTTGATTATGGGGCATGCTTCCGGAGGTATGCTTCGGGGTATATGTTTGTGCAGTGTGAAGACTCAAATAGTAGCATGGTCAATGGGTATATGCTCCAGCATGCTTCGCCGATGTCGAACATCCCTAGACTGGACATGTTCAAAAAATACACACCCTGCAGACCCTGTATATCCCTGTATGCTTACATTGACCCTTGAAATCACCCATGTCGGCCATATCTGGAGTCTCTGGGTTTGGATGCTCATCACCATTTCGAAATAACGGCGATTGATGCTTGCAATCCATATTGCATAGAAGCACTAAGACCATCACAAAAACTGTATGTACAAATGGACCAGCCACTCGTCGCCGCGGCTGCAACCCAAACACCCTAGAGCTCCAACTACCTCCGTTTCGAAGGTGGTTGGGGTGGGTGCCGAGTCTGTGCCAAGCCTGAGGATATATGGTTGGAGCCCCAAAAAGGGACAATCAACTAAGGCACCGATTTGGGAACGGTCAAACATCCGAAACAACCACCGGCTCGAGGAAACACACACCAACCAACGACCAGGACCTTCAGTTCGTGACCGTCCTTGAGATCCCAGGATGAAGTCAAGAGACTCCGAGGTCACGAACTGAGGGTCCTGGGAGTTTGATTCCCGTGACTTCGTCTCCGTGGGCCGTCCTCAAAGACTAGGACATTGCTGCTCTTCACATCGCAGTGAAGGATCCTCCTCTCGTGCAGGTAGCTCAGACCTGCCCCGAGGACTAACCGACCGGAGCGGAGATCCCGAGATGACCTGTTTGGCCCCTCCGTGCCACCGGGGGTCTGTGCCTCGGGAATTGCCGAGGAGCCGCTTGGGGTGAAGTGAAAGAATGAAGGACTCGGTCGACCTGGGGTAGCTATACCGCCTAGGTATGGTATAGTCTTTTTGTTTTTAGGTTTAAAGGGTCCTTTAATGTCAGTTGGTGGGATTTGTAGTCCAACCGGGCAAGCTCTCCAGTTTCGGGGCGTCACCTCGTGCGGGAAAACCCAAGCCAAAACAACCTCACCAAGCTCCCGCCGAACAACCGTGCTGGAAGCCTCTTGGGAGTGGTCGAATAAATCACTACCTGGACCCTCCAAGAGGTCTCCTATGGTGGCTTTTGCAGACTTAAACAAGTCGCAGGTGGTGACCTGTTGGAGGGTGCTGGTACAGGCATCCTGGTGGAGGAACTATATCACACGATGGACGTCTATGGACTTCAGAACTTTCCATGATGAACCAGGCCGTTTCCGGGAGAAATTAACCATGTTACCACCTGTTCATGTTTGGCGCGGAAACCAATTCCCCCAAAAAAGAACATTGCAGGTTCTCAGTGACGGGGTAGGTTTGTCTATGGAACAACTCTCCACTGAGACTGCACCGCCACCTCCTTTTTGGTCTGTGGAATGAATGCTGGCTCCCTCCACTGAAAAGGATAGCCTTGGGAACACGCCAGCCGAACGAAAAGGTCTCCCCCTCATCGTAGATCACATGGTGTATCCAAAAACATCGAGCTCATATGATACGTAATATATATATATATATGTTGTTTTCCAACTACATGTTTTCAATGGTAATGGCCAAACGACTTGGTGCTGACCCAGTCAGCTTGGTGCCCATCTTACTTCTCCAAAGAAGGAAATAACAACATCTGGAAAAGAGCTCAATTAGCTTGCAGTTTGCTTATATAAGTTTGGACTTCAAGAGGCTGATGTATTTTGACTTTGCATGCCCTTTTCACCTTGAGGCGCCAATGGCCCCAACACACAAAGCACAGTGGGGTTGATGTCATCTTTCCTGGAGCTCCGTGATCTCAGTGTTGATTGTTTCACTAGGCAAAGCCACAATGTTTGGGTTCAGGGTGATGTATCAAGATGTATCAACCAAACATGGCAAGTTCCGAGCTGATCATCCTAAAAAATAAGTCTGATTTATGATGTCCTTCCTCCATGTCTTCACTCTTCTCTAAACGCACTGGCGCCATCTTCAGGGAAACTTGCCTTCCACAAGATCTCTGGCCAAGGCCAAGCGATGCTGCGGATGGAGGCTACCTGGAGTTCGTGCGTTCTTTTCCATCTATCCCTAGGGATCCAGTCGTACCTTCTCAGATACGGTGATTGGACACACCGCTATGTAGGTGCCAGGAGGGTCCAGTCGTACCTTCTGAGGTTCGCTACGACTGGATCCCTAGGGTATATAAAGCGTTGTTGTTCACCAAATCCTGGATTCTTGAAGGGTCTCGGCGGTCTGCGATGTGGACGGCCCACCGACAGCACCGACCACGGCTCTCGCTCGAAACGGAGCCGCTTCTGAATCGTATGACGACCGAAAACGCGCCGTTCGCCTACTCACCAGCTGAAGCTAAACTGCTTTGACCCCCCTGCCAAAGCTGTAAAACAAGGGCCTTCACGGCACCGGCGTTGTGTAAAAGCCCGCGTTCAGCACGGTAGCTCCGGTCTCAAAGCATCGAATTTCCAGTTTCACCCGAAGTCGGTGGTAGGGAATGAAAGCAAATCTGGAAAATAGATCAAAGACCATCCAAAACCCATTGGTTCATCCAAAACCCATTGGTTAATCCATTGATCTAAACCCATTGGTTAACCCATTGGTTGATTTCTCTATTCAAATCCACACCCAACTGGGCGCCTTTGGAGACCTCTGTGAAAACGGTGATTACATGGGGTGGGTGCCATTGCGGGGTTGAAGTACAACATAACATATATACCTATCGGATGTGGGCCAGGAGCCAAAGGGTTTTTTGAAAGTCCTTTGTCGTGCCGTGCTTGGTTTCTTTATGTTCTTTGACACCGAGCTGCGTGTCGTGCTGCACGAGGCACCATGCAAAAGCTGCCACAAGGATCCTCTGCATTTTGTGCAGCCGAGGGAAATCGGTCAAAAGCATGTCCGATTTTGTGGTGTTCAAGATTAAGATGGATCGGTCAGGATTCTCTTCCAAAGAACCGCAACATGTATAGAATATATAAAGAACATATTGTTGGGTCTTGGTGACCGTCACCAAGTGTTCGCCTCCAACCTGGGAGGCTGGAAGTGGCCGGACGGTGCGGCACGGAGTGCCAAAGGGAGATGCGAACGACGGGCAACAGTGTTGACTTGATGTTCCCCCCAAGCTACGATCGATTCTCCCTCTCCACTCCCCTCTCCCGCTCCACCGGAGTCGGTCCCGCAGCCAGCTCCAAGACCAAGGAAATCCCACCTGGGGCGGTGTTTCAAACGGGTCAACCGTGGAGCCTCACTCAAAGAATTCCATGTTTCCGGTGGAACGTGTCAACATAAGAAGCCCATGACTCGGGATCTCCTAGGATGTTTGGATAGGTGGTATGAGTCGGGGTTTATATTATGCTCGAATTCTTGATGTGGCTGGACCCGTTTCCTTTGCACATTGGAAAATGGCATGCATATGGCCCCAACAAAAAACAGGTACGACTGTACCCATTGTCCGAGGTATGAACAGAGACTCCAGGTAGCCATTTGCAATTGTAGCTAGTTCACGAGTTACACAATCATCACAAATCCAACGTATCCTCAAAAGGGGTACGCAACAATCGCAACCCAGTGGCCCCTCGCAAGCGGACAAAGAGAATACGGTGTCCCTCCAAGGAATTTGCCAGAGTCGATAACATAATTTTTGGGTACAACGGCTGTATATATATTGTCCAACGATTTTTTGAGAGGTAGTCGAAATCAACTATTTTGACTTATGCTTGGTGAGTCATCATTGTCATCAGTCGTTTAAATTTTGGTCCCTATGTCTGTGCCCTCTCCGCTGTATTTACAATGAACCGTTGACCATACACAAATAGACCTTGGTTACGGTTATATCATATTACCGGTACCAGTAACAGTGGATGATGGTGGTTCGTAAAGGCCTTTATCAAAAAACCTGATATGTTTTGCAAGATTTTACTGGTAGTGGGGCCGGGACACTCCCTAGATACGCTAGATAGGCCCCTTTCTTGAACCATGCTGTGGTCTGCACTGGCCTGCACCTTCCACTCCGCCAAAACGTCGCGCTTTCGGCCCTTTTCGATCTATATCGATCCAGGCCTTACGGTGTTGCAACACCTGTCGCCTCTTCTTGACAGGGCCCAACTCTGGCGTAAGAGAGGCCCAGCTCAGATCGGAGTTTATGTCGAGGAGGCAGAAGAATTCTGCATCTTGAATAGATTACAGTATTTGAATATCTTTTAAGATGATCTGGAAACTCAAGCCTTGATCCTTGTGTCTCCATGCCTCCTGATTTCTAACAGCAAGTGTTGCACATCCGAGCCGCCACCGGCCTCACTGGGGGAAGCCCAACATACCTGGAAAGGATTGTGCGCAGCTGTCACACAGGTTCTGAACATGTCACTGTGTGCTGCCACTTTCAAGCCAAGGGTTTCAGGAAGATCCTTGTGCCCAGAAAGAGCTTAGATATTCCGTGCTCTACTGGTGTGGTGGGTGCAAACTCTCCGAAGAAAACACAGTGCCACACGTGATATGTCATATGTCATGTGTCGTACTAGAACAAAAAGGGTTCCATACCCTACAGGACTCCAAGTACCTGCTAGAAGGAGTTTGTGGTGGGTTTAGAGGGTCCACATACCTTCTGAGGAGGCACTTGGAGCCCTGGGGGTACTAAACAACTGCACATGGTGCGCCGATATGCACCGCCTAATGGCGCCTGCCAAGGTGCAACCCCGAAGCCGTTGGCACTTCCAGTGTAGCCGCACCTCAGCAACCCCAGTCGTCTGAAGAAGCAGCAAACATGTGGCTCGTGGCAGCGTGGCACCCGGATGACCTCCTTAGATCTCCTGCGTAGGTCGTCTATGATTGGGACTTTTTGTTTGTTTTCCGTGGACAAAAACAGGGTGGGTTGAGAGTAGCTGAGTAGATGACACAATCCCCCAATGTCAGTGGCTCATATGGACCCCCATCTGTCTAGGACACATGGGACGGCGCCAGTGCCATAGGTTCCCTCTGAAACAACTGTATCTGTACATACATGATTGTCTTTCTTGCACCAATGCAAGGGTTTACCTAGAATATCCTAGAATACACAGTGACCTAGTCCAAGAAGCATGTATCTGGCATCTCAGAGTACCTCATGGGTGCAGTCGTACCTGTATTTTTTGTTGGGGGTCATGTCCAAGGTACTTGAAGTCAGGTCCAGGTTCATCTCAGGTAGTGCCAGACTTCTTCCTTCAATTCAACGGACCATGCAGGGCCTATTCCAAAAGATCAAACACCACTCGTCCCTGGAAGAAAAGAGCTGTTCAGCATGCTTCCAGCTGCGATTTGAGGAACCAGTGTGACCTTGTCACAAGAATCTGTTCAGGTCAGCAATTCTGAAGTGCTTGTGTCCCCTACTCATCCCTCTACTCGTCTTAATTCTGCAGCTGCGACCCGTCTCCTTCTTCCGCCCAGCCACCAGCTGCTGCGGGACGAAGCGTGCGTCCTCGGAGCTCGTCGCCCAGGTCCTGTTCAACACCCTCGCATCGCCGGAGGAGCGAACCCCGCGGCACATGCGTTTTTCGCTTCGTGGCTAGGGCCCCGGGGGGCCCGGAGCTCGTGCGGTTCGGCACGCCGTTCGGAACCGGAGCTCGTGGTGAGCCGCTCCGTTCGGAGCCGTTGGACCTTCTCGCCAAGTGGTGACACTTAGAGGGAGAACACAGCCGGGCTTCTTACAAGTGTGCTGTCGCCCCATTCCTGTCCATCCAGTCATCCGGGGTCATCTGGTGTCGAAAGCCATAGCAGAAAAGCACAGGTCTTCCCTGCCGAGACCAAGATTAGTTGGAGATAGTTGGAGGCACTGTGTATCAAAATACCCAGACCTCCCAGGCAACGACCCGGTGGGTTTGGTTTGAAAAATAGACCCATCTACCTATTGGGCCAAAGGGGTCTCCCTAAAATACACACCCACACGAATATTTGCACTCGCAAACTCAGAAAACCTGCGATGTGTTACTACTACTAACATCTATCAACAACTGATTTCCCTCACCTCGTCACATCAGAAAAGCCATGAGTTAACAAACACACTAAATTTTACTAAAGCAGCATGTGAATCGACCATATCTAATTAATGATGATGTCTCTTTCCAGAATTCAAAAAGACATCCCAGAACGTTCCACTGAACGTCCCATAAAGCCATGGCTCCAAACCGAGACCCACCTACCCGCTTGGCTCGTAGCTCCCGCTCCCGCTCCGGCTCGCCCGCTCGCCCGGGCTCCTCAGCAGCTCCAGCGCCTCACGCCCAGCCTCTGCCCACAGGAGGTCTTGGCCTTGGTGGATCCCACCGCACCGGACCCAGTGGATATGATCCGACTTCTTAACCCACAAAACCCACTGGCGGCGGTGCCGACTTCTTAGCACGGAAAAAACACGTGAAAGAAGCAAGGCACCCAACACCTCGGACGCGGTGCCGAACCACGGCGAAAAAACGGCGGCGTTCCGTGCGGAACAGCCACCAGGGGGTGGTTGATGGTCTTTTTAAGGGGGTGGTTGGTAGCTCAAGATGCGTCCCATGGAGTGTCTGCAACATGGAGAGGAGGCAATTTTGATTGGTGACTAGGAGCAGAATTCATGCTTGGGAGGTGCTTGGGAGGTGACTGACATGAGAGGTGAGTGACATACTCAAAAGAGTAATCATCCAGCAACCGTACCGACTCTTTCAGTGATTGGGAAGAAATATAGAAGAACTATATAACTCATCAAAACATATCAAAACCATTTGCATCCAAGAATCCAAGAAGGCAGTAATCTTCCAAAACGCTTCCACAGTGATAGGGAGACAAAACCTCCAGGACACCTCTCCTAACCTCCTCAGAGTCTCGGGCCTCACATAACCTCTTGGAGTCGCGGTGTTCACAGTGCAAAATAGCTGAAGTGAGCAAAGCCAGAACAGTTGGGTGTATTTTATTAGGGAGATCGCGAGACACCCCTGGCCCTGGCTGGGTAGGTCTATTTTCCTTCTTTGAGGGCGTCTTTGGTAGGTCTCCCTATTTGAGCTACACACCCACTTCCGCAGACAGCCTGCGGATCATGCGCGCTACTCGGTGCAGTTGCTGAGAGAAGTGACCACACACATGGGCGACAAAGCTCTGCCAGCAAATGAGCCCAAATACACCAAAACACACACACCCCTCTGACGCAAACAAACACACATAGCAACCATGAATAACACATCAACCCCTTCCCTTTCCCGCAACAAAAATAACCATGGAAGGTTTCCAGCTCTTCTAATATAGCAAGTCAATGCAAGTCATAATCATGCGTCCGTCTTCTCACTCTCCAGATCGAAAGACAATCTCGGGATCAAACATATCGAATACACTCCCGAAAACTAACATGGAACCTGGAAATGGACCTTTGGAAGACCATGTTCCGAATACCAACCCAGTGGTTTTCAGGTTCCATGTTAATCTTCCCGAGTGTAAACCCATGCCCAGTGGCCAGTCATCGCGCCCTGCAACTCTTCCAGGGACGCCAGCAGCCATCGGGCTGCTGGATTCATCGGCGACAAGAGGATCGCCTCCACCTCGATCATCGGCGAGACTGAGTTTTGAAGACCAAACCGTGGAAAGCGACCGAGTTTGGCACTTCCAATGGGTGGCCAGACACTGAAGACACTGAAGACCTATATATTGTATGATTATGTATAAATTCAATTCAATTCATAGATATCCATGGTACTATCCATAGTGTTAGCACGTACCATCCACAGGTTACGAAGGCCCTGGTGAGTGGATGATGAAACCATCTGGATGATCCATGTACCTCTGGATGATCCTGTATCTTCCCCGCTGCAACCTCCAGTCGTCACTTCATGATCATCCTGACCTGCCCACCTAGAAATGTTGCGTGTTCCTAGCTAGAGGAACCTAGCCTTATCCTCAGGAAGGTAAGCTTTGAGTGGGTGTTTCCAATTTCCAATGCCCAAGCTTCAGTCAGCTCGTCATAAACCTAGGCCCTTCATGGACAACTTGTCATTCAGCCCCATTTACACCCTCTAAACAGCTCAATCTGCGGTGATTGATGCCCAAGATCTTCAGCCAAGACATTCCCGTTTGGGCGACACCCGTCGTACCTTCTCAGGAGGTACGACGGGTGTCGCCCTAGGGGTTCACTTTCCTGGCTCTGAAACCAGAAGATTGACCTTGCAAAACCATCGCAATTAAACGACAGCCTAGGAGCGCTTCCGCGCTTGAAGGGCGCTGAAGCGTGGCCCAGTAGGGTGGGGCCCATCAGGTAGCCACAGGCGATGGAGACCTAGGCTGACACGAATGAACTTGATGCGCTAAAAATGCGGCCACTCGAACGAACAAAAACATGGCCACCAGTCGTCTAAGTAGCAAAAACATGTCTCAAACCTCGGGTTGCCATCTTGCGTGAACTGTATGGAGTTGGCATTTAACATACTTTTCAAGCACGGCCTGAGACTCCAACAAAATGCAGTTGGCTCTTGTTGGCTCATGCTAGCTAGCAAGGTGGTGGGGTCGCTCCGAACAGCTCCCTATTATTGGGAATTTCTGGATATCCCCTGGGACCCTCAGTCGCTCCCTCTCGAGGAAGAGGTTACTGTATTTTACTGTAGTTCATCTGAAGATAGTCTTGCTTCCCAGCCTGGCAAACTGCTCAGCCTATCCATCCACGCCAAGCAGCTGCCCGAGCTTCTTCGTTTCCACAGCGGAGCCAGCAACAAAGGGCACCGCACCAGTTCCGAGCTTGTTCGCACCTGAGTTTTTTCAGGAATCTACGGCCACCTTCTGAGCAAGTCTGAGAAATACTAGTACTGTTCACTCCTGATTCCTAGACAAGAGGTCCAGTGCCTCTCCTACTTCCATGAGCTGAGAAGATCAGCGAGTCAGGGGATTCCTCTGGAAAACAGCTTCCTGGACCCAGCCCTCACGACAAGCCACGCCAAGGCTTTGGCTTGCCAAAGCCAACCTGGTTGTCGCAAACATGGGACACCCGGGACACCGATGCGTCATACCATACTTTTCCAGTTACCCGGCAATTTAGAGGCGACAAGGTAATTATATATATATATAATGAGGGATTCCTGGAGTACGCAATTGCTGATGCTACCAGTCACAGGTAACTGGAAGGCAGGGCTATGGATAGTGAGCAACCAGGAACCTTCCTGAAAAACCTTGAAGCTGCTTCTAATGATTTTGTTGGTCCAACTCAAGGAATCCCACGGGGGACCCATCCTAAGCTGGATCTGCTAGATTGGCGACGTTCCGATACATCCAGTGATTGGTGGCCAACTCAAGATTTCTGGATACAAAACAAACAACATCAAACAAGAGCCCTGGATGTGCTCCTCACTGTCACTCCTCGAATTCCGCCGCCAAATCCCGTGCCTGGCGGTAGGCTGGGCCACGGCATCACTTCGTCGACCACGGAGATCGACTTGGCATAGCCCGTCCTCGGTGCATCCACGGCCGACGGGGTCGAGCCCGTTCGGCTTATTGTGTGGGTTTCCCACGGGCAACTGGAGCGGATTCTCTGGTGAAAGGCCGCTGTCTTTTCTCTTGGGAAGTCTGTCACATGAAAGATCATGATAAGTGAAGGGATCCAACAGCTGGGTCAGGATCCAACAGCTGGGTACTGTAGAGCATCCTGTCTGGGTATCCTGGCGTGTGAGATCCCGAATAGGAGTGGCCTGGGTAGTCCAGCCGGGACACCCAAACAGGATGGTCCTGGTCAGTGAAACATGTTCATTTGTTGCCCGGGGAAGACCATGGTCTCTGATTGAATCATGGTGTTCAGTCTTGACTTGACCGTTTTTGTTTTTACACAAGTTTGTTTTGTTTCCCTAGGGATCCAAGTACCTTCTCAGATGTCATTGGATACACTGTTATGTAGGTGCCAGGAGGGTCCCCGTACCTTCTGAGAAGGTACGACTGGATCCCTAGGGTATCATTCCATGATGGATCTGTATCACTGATGGTCCGTCCTTAGCTGACCTTACCGTTGGGCGGCGTCGTTGCTAAAAAGCGCAGGGCAGTCATCATCGGCTGGTCTCCCAAACACCACAGGACTGGGACCATTGACCTAGGTTGACCCCTGAAATCAACCACCCCAAACTGATGAGTACGTCATAAGGGCTCCAAGGGCGGGCCCATCTCCTCGCCCGCTTCGGTGATGTGCCGTCCCACCGTTTCGGAGGCGGCGGCTCGGAGTTTCAGGGTATGTCTGATGGATTCGTTCGGGACGCTCATTGGATGTTCCTGGGTTTTCAGACTTCCACCGATGGCTTGCGGGCAAAAGGCAAGCCTGGTCACCACCACTCCATGCAAGCGGACCAGTTTCTTCCGTTCGGAGCCCCCCAGCTATACTACTGGAAAGATGTTCGTTGGAGCATCATGGAAGACACTGCGAAGCCTTGCATACCTATAAGCTCCTGGGGCAGAAATTTCTGTCGCATCCTCATTTGCCCGGGTATTTCCGCGCCACTAGAGAATATTCGCGCCAAGAAAAAATATCCGCGGCCAAGAAGAAAAATCCGCGGCCACAGAGGAATTTCCGCGCCAAATAAAAACCTCTTAGTGTCAATAAACTGCACCCATAATCAAAAGGTTCGGAATGTGATCACAACATATCACAACAACCCCAAGCGCACTCCTCCGCACCTGTCACCAATCGTTTTCCTTCCAAGTTGCAACAGTCACAGTGTGCCTTGATCTATCTGGAGCCGGCACCATGGGTTTTCACGTGCCTTGAAATGAGGGCTCTGGTTTTGAGATAGTAACGCTGGATAACTCTTTTTGAAATAGTTCGCGTGGACACACGACGGCCCAGGGAACTTACTTTACCAACGTGGTCCTCATTGCTTTCTGTGTTGTACACACCTGGATTCATAACCCTGGCCGCCCCACTCAGCAACTGCGTCCGCAGCTCAAAGGCCAAATGCTTAGCTGCATGGTACTTTGGGATCATTGAGAACGATACCTTTTTTGAGTTTTTGCGTGGAGCCACAAGATAATGAACACCAACCGTGGAAACCCCAAACAAACAGCCGAACAAATAACCAAAAGTTATTAAGGCAAAGGTAAGCAACCATGCCCAGCAAAATCCCGTGCTTTGCAAGGAGGTTGTACCCCTTGCACACCAGCATCAAGCGTGCATACAGATTTTGTCCGCAAACTCGTGGCATCCACAAACCATGCGAATCACAAATCTTGTGCATGGCCTGGAGGTTCTCCAAAACAGTTTTGGCAACGTTGAAAAACCGGAGGTGGTTACAAGCTTTCTCGTGCGTAGCCGCAATCAAAGGGATGTAGAACAACAACCATGAGACTAGCAAAGTACTGTCACTTCCCTTGGAATTTGCCCATGCTGAACTCCTGAAGGTCTTACAATTGAAAAAAGATCGTGTGAACGATCTGAGCCCTGGGCTCTTTCGAGCCCCCGCACACCAAAGCTTGAACCCACCGTGCGCACGGTTCAAGCGCTCATTGATGTCTCGGGATTCTGCAGGGTCTGCACTGTCAAAGAAGCCCAAGCGGCACAAAATCATCACCAAACTGCCAACGATGTGCCTTGTCAAACCAACTTTAAACACATGAAAGGCATCCAGTTTGAAAGCCCATTCTGGACGTTCTGGGTCATAGTTGATCATAGATAGTGCTGGCCCATCATTCTCTGGCCATGGCCTGGCCTCAAACATGCTAGGTGCCCAAGAAGGCACATGGTCCACTTCTTCAAATTCATAGCGGGGGTCCCCTGCCAAGCACAGGCTGCACATCTTACCATCGCCCTTTTGGGACAGAGTTGCGTAGCTCCGATTGAAGCCACCGGCCACTTCGGCATGAAACTTCATATCACCTTTAACTCCAATCAAGATACCCCACCATTTCTCTTTGGAGTCCCCGATTTCAATCCCATGCTCGTACAGCGCGCGCATGTCTGCAGAGACCAAGCGAAGATGTTCTTGCAGAATCTGAGGGTGAGCTTTGTAAAGGAAACTCGGCAACCCAAACACCAAATGCTTGGTAAGGTAACTGTGCCCTTTCTGGTTGGTAGCACATTGCTCAGCCACACCGACAGAATCACGAACAGGACCACTGCTACAACAAACAAACTCTGCAGGCCAACAGGATACATCCTCACGGCAAACGCAGTGCGGATCTTGATGTCGAAAAAGACCAAACGGCGTCTCAAAAGTGAAGTCCATAAAGTTTGCTCTCTTTGGTCCCCTTCCCTCATCTCCGTACAAAATGAGAGGCAGGCAGAAATTGAGATCCTTTCCGCTCTCAAACACTACATGCCCTGCGTGCACTTGCCTGTACAATTGCCAGAACGAGACGCACTGCTGTCGGACGCTAAAGTGGGACCCAGCTAGCACAGATGGAGCCTTGCGAAGAAGATATTTCAACCAATCGGATACCTTCACCCAGTTTGTAGTCAAGACATCTTTTCCACATTGGTGGGTAACTGATTGAATTGCAATCGGTAAAGAAAATCCTAGTCGGGCAAACTTCCGATGACAATCCCGCTCAGCATTGGGTGCTTCCCTCTCACCCAAGTGTAGCGTGCGCTTCACATTGGTGGCTGTTGCCTCACCACGCGGGCATGGCTAGCAAGTTGTGAAGAGGAAAGCTGAAAGTTTGGATAGATGTGGGTGTTCAATTGAGCAGTCGCCAACCGCACAGTTGCAGCATTCAATGTTCAAACCCGACAAAAAATCAGGATTTCCTATGAGTGAAAGGCAAGTAACTTAAATCTAAGGTTTGCTGTTCTTATGAATGAAAAAGACATTCCAGTCTTACGATATCTTGCCATCCAATATCCAATAGGCCAAGGTGTGGTGGCTGAGCTTCCAGCGCCCTCGCCTAAACACTCCGCCATGTGCTCCTCAAGCTTGCCACCAAGCTTGTGACCTGGCTGGGGCAAAGAACGTTGATAGAAAACACTTCAACTTCACAAACTGTGGGAAACGGCTTGTCGACATGTGTATGGCTCACTGGGGTCCAGCTCTTTTTTGTTGATCCGAGGATCCGAAGTAGGCTCGTGTCCACTCAAGGCCGCTGGCCCAAATCTCTAACTCAAAGCTTTGCACCCCGTGTGGACACAGAGCCCCAACGCTCTGCCACACACAGAGTGCCCAAAACAAGCAAACCACCTAAGGCGAAGCGCGATCTAGCGTTTGGCCTTCTTCTTGGCCGCCGGCGTTGTGGGGTTCTCAGCGGTCCGTTTAGGGACAGCTCGGCGCTTAGCACTACCCTTCGCCTTCTGTTCACTAGTCCTTGAAGTAGGGGTGCATTGCCTCAGCGGGGTAAATAGTGTGTTCTGATTTTCTGCTTACTGATTAGCTTTCTGTAGTTAGACAAATTCATCCTCAAAGAAGTTACTTGTACATGTGGTTGGGTCCCCCACCGGGCCCTTTTCTCCATGCAGATCGCTTCCACTGCCCTGGGCTAACGAACAGATAGACAAGTGATGATGGACGCTTTTTAAAATTCTCAGGCTTTGACAATTTCTTGGCACTCTCAAAAGCCTGCTTGAACGACTTCATTTTCCTCGGAGGCCCCAAAGACCCACGCAAAGCATTACAAAAACTTATTGGTATTATATCTCAAGCTGCCATAACATCCCCACAACCACATGAAGAGTAGTGGACGGGCGGCTCCTTCCCAAAGCCGTCAGCTATCCCAAGCTGGTAGGTTTGCATGATCGAGTCATCTTGCTGCGTGAGTTTGGTCGCAAGCTCAACGATTTTGCCCCTCAGCCTAAGGTTTCCAGAAGCGGCCCTAGTACCAGAAAGGTTTTGCCAGTACCCAGAAGGGCTAACACTAGTTACAGACCTAGCAGCAAAAACGTTCATAATGTTTGTGTAAGAAGCGAAGTTTGTGCAGCATCAAGTTTAGGAGCTGCATCAAATTTAGCAACAATATCTTGCAAGTGTCTCACTCGCTTCTGGAGACACTTGGAAACCTTGGGAGCTGCTGACGGGTACTTGGTCGGGCCCTCGATCTCTGGAAATTTGATCGCCTTGATAACATTCCCCTGCTCATCGTCCCCTGCATCTTCGCCAAACTCATCATCGGAAGAAAGGTCTTTCCGATCGCCTAGTGAGTAGAGAGTTTTTAACAAGCAGTCCAACTGCCTAAAAGCTTACTGTTTCCAGAAAGGAATGGGGCCACAACCCCAAAATGTTTTTCTTTCTATCCAGAGGGTCCACCCGGGCCCATAGAGTCAAATGGGAACGGCTGGTCCATCGAGAGCTGTTTCGGTTCCTCCTCAAGCTCCTCATCCGCACACTGCTCCAGGATGCTGCGACGGGTGCGCCTCAGCCAAGCGCACGGCATGGGGCCACAAGCGATACTGTTGCTGGGCACGGCTTGTGTTGAGCAATCGGATGGTGTACTTGTGAGTGCGAAGCAAACCTCTTTGTAAAGCAGTATTCAGCATTCCAGGAAAACA